TTTCGGGGGCGGGGCTCCGCTCGTGGCTACAAAAAGCTACGGCTGCGGCAGGACTCTTGAGTTCCCCCGAGGGGTGCCGCGGCTCTGCGAGTAGCCCGGGGCAGATGAGCCCTTTCCACGCCTGTTCTCCCAACTAGTTACCTCCAAATCTCAGGGGACGTGGGGCATACCCCACACATTCCCCAAGGCTTTCTGCCTTGCTCCCAGCCTGTCCCCCCGCCGCGGGGAACACATTCGCACTGCCCACCCTCCCACTGCGGCTGGCGAAGTCCCCGGGCAGCGGTGCGCCCGTTTGCAGCCTACTGAGAAGACCCGGGAGGGGCCGCGGGTCGCCGTGTGTTTCAAGGCGGGTTGATCCCACGCAGGAGGGGTTACTGGCAAAATGCAAAGCTTTGCTTAACCCTGCCGTAGGCACCTCACTTTTTATACAGATGCATAATTTTCCTGAAATCGCTCACAGCAAACCTTTGAAGATCAACCTAATACATCTAATTTATATCACATATGCAATGGTGGCATCTGTGCAATAAATTGGAAAGAATCTTCATGGATTAATAAATTCTAAGATGATCATGATCTGACCTTGGGCTAACCAGTAATCTTATAACACTCACTGCTTTACAGCCTTTCCCTGGGAATGACGTCCAGCAGTGTTGACTTAAAGACACCAGTAATGAGGAGTCCACCACATCTCTTGATAAATCTTTTCAGTCATTAATTTGCTAAGAGGTGTATCTCACATTCAGTAACAATTTGTCTTATTCCAGCTTCCAACCCCTGGTTCTCATTGTGCCTTTATCAGCTCAAGGGGACATAGTATTGGTGGTCTTCTCCTGTGCACATGGGCTAGGATTAAACACTGCATTTTACTTTTGTAAAATAATTAGAGCGACTTGCCCTCACCTCAGGAATCATTCCTGGAGGCATTTCCAAGGCACCTTTTCTTTTCCTGCTTTATGTGTGAACTGGCCCTTCTGACTCTGCAACCTGTCAGCCCTGGGCCACCAGCAGCCACCTCAGCACCTCCCTCGGCACCAGCCGCTTCCGAGGGCCGGGCAGGTCAGGAGAGCTAATCTCTACAGGCAAACAAGCCAGTTTGTTGTCCTTGTGGGGCTGCCTCTTTATGGAATAATCTACACTGTGTTTTGAATCCATACTGCCTAAAAGCATGACGTACTGCTTTGCTCCTGTGCACCTGGTCTTGCATTAGGGTAAACCAAACTATGTGCTTTATTTGTACAAGTGACCTGTCTAGCAGTTTCTTTGTCACCTGCAAACTTAGCAGTAACTTATTTTCCTCCAGAAAATTCATTATCATGACACCAAGAACAGATCATCCTAGGATGCCAAGAGGAATAGATGCCATATTGATTTTGTATAATGTTATTTTTAATCAGAATTCCGTATGCTAAATGACGTTTCACAATTCTCAACTTGATCTGCAATAGATACCAAGTTTGTTTGTCAAAATCTGTTTCACAGAAAATCATTCTTCACTGCTTGTATCCTGTATCATTCTGTGATTTTCTCCAGTACTTGGCTACCAGGGCTACAGCTGCTTGGATCACTTTGATTATCATTTGACAATATTGGCAGTATATTAACACATGCACTCACACTGTCTCTGGAATGTCATCAGCTTTCTAAGCTTTTTTTTTTTTTTAAAAAAAAGCAATTTTCCAGTTTTTCAGAACTCAGTCTTTCCGAAGGAAAGCTTGGGTCCAAGTTATGTGGTACAATAGAATTAATACCTTGAATATTATTAGCAACTGCTTGACATCCTTCTTTGTTACTGATGCAGCAGCAACTGTCCCTTTGTTATTGTAAGAATCAAATGCATCTCCTCGCTTCCTTCCAAACACAGGTTGGAAAGAGTTATTGCACAGTTCCATTCAACGTAAAGCTCAAGGCTTGCCCTTGCCTGGGAGGCAGAGCCCAGCCGCCGGTGATGCCGGCGCAGTGCACCGGGAAGTCAGACGCTGGGGAGGTGGGGCAAAGAAACACGCCTAGGAAGTGCTATGGCATGGAGCCAACGCTTACCATGGAGTACAAAACCAATTCCAAAAGCAGGCCCAGGAAACCAAGATTTACCCCTATTTGCCCAGAAAGCTAAGGCAGACTTTTCAGAGGTAGTGTCTGATGATACCTTCCTCATTTTGGGGGCACTTGGCAGGAGATCCTTTCTATACATCGTTCTGTGCATCATTCTGCGCATAATGGGAGCCGTGGGGTGACAGTTCATCTTGTATGCGTGCTTTTGGTTTGAAGGTGACCACCTTTGGTCAAATGAATCCCAGCTCCCATGTCTGAACTGCAGAAGTCTGGAGTATTGCTGGATATCATTGAAACCGAGCAAAGCTACACTTCAAATTAGAATATTTAATAACGTGGTACTTCTGACCTTAATCTTTTTGTCACTGCATTCCCTGTCAGTAAAGCAGGGGTGCTCTTCCTTCAAGGTCATATTGTGAAGACAGAGTAATAAATATTTGGGAAATACTAAGACACTGTAACATTCAAGTTCCATTAAAAAACAGCTAAGAAAATAACCTTTATTTTTCAGGCTAGGGATTTACTATGGGGAAGTAAATAAGGCCATATATTGAACAATGAGGATTAGGCAAAGTAAGCCTCTCAAAATCCTTCCTGTATACTCAGTGAGGCATGAAAAAGACAGTTTCCACACCTTTTGTAAAAAACGCAGGGAACATAATGCAAGAAAATCATGTAATTAAAGACAATAGTGTAATAGATGCACTGAGGCTAAATTTAGATTTAACAAAGAACTTTATTTCTGACATTTTAAAGTATTTCATTTGCAATCCTATCAAAAACTTTCATGTTGTACACATAGTTTTCAACAGGATATATGCATATAGTTGTATTTTGTAAACCCTGCTTCTTTCCAGTTCTCAGCACTGAGAAAATTCTTCTTTCATAGGTACTATCCTTTGTTTATGTGTAACAGATGCCCAGGTAACAGCTTATTTTAAACAAAAGGAGGCCTAAAGGAGAATTGCACCAAACCGCTTATTAAAGATTGTGTCAGACACAGCCGCCTGCCGAGCTGCCTTTTTTTTTTTTTCCTTCGAAATCCCCAGAATATTTTGCTACCATGAAATCAGTGAAGTGCATCCCCTAGCACGAAATCCTCTAAAGTAGCACACATCCTTTGTCTGTTATGCAAAAAGTCGTTACATTCTTATTTGGTGGTCTACACCAGACACCCTCTCTATCTCTTTATTCCTTGTTGGCTAAAATACCAGTTCACAAGAATTGTAAATCCTGTTTTCTTTGCTCGAAAAATCAAATGTCACTTTCTTCCCAGCATGTTACCCAGTCACTTCAGCATTTTGACCATGTGAATCCTTCACCTATATTTCAGTAAAAACAGTTATGTCAAATATCTTCCTGCTAATGATCATTTCCAATTTCTCTCAGTTATTACTAAGTCTTCTCACAGTGTATGCACAGTTAACATTTTTATTCTTTACATATTCTTTACATTTGCTCATCACAGAGTACCTAATTCATGAATTTCAGGGCTAAGTATCTGTACCGGTATGACTCCCTTGACCACCTTTTCTTCAGCTGCAAGTTAAATACCTTCAGAGCATGGGTAAGTTCAAGAAACCCAGAAAACTGATTTTTCCCTTATCACCAAGAAAGAAATTGCATCTGTTGCAAGTCCTCCCCCACTCTGGGAGGTGGTCTGATGCTACGTGAAACGCCACGCTACCCATCAGGCCGGTGACTCGCTTCCTGCATCTTCCATCTTCTTTCTTATTGCTTTTGGAGCTAGGAGAAGTCACTGAGAAGGTCCTGCCCTGTTTTTGTCTCCAACCCTCTTTGGAAATCCTGGAAGCCTCTAGAAGTATGTCATCTACAGCCACGTCATTCCTGTCGGTGCTGACTAGGTAGGACTGGTCTAAATAGGCTTTGTCTATTCATATAAACGTCAGTTAGTAATGGATTGAAAAAAAGATTGGAAACTGTTGATCTAGGCATAGTAATTTTAATAGTGCATATACATACATAATTGTTTTCCTCTGTAAACGGGAAGTGGAAGAGTACTGCAATGCTCTAATTCAAACCCAGCTATGGCTGTTAGAGTTAAATTGCTAGCACCCCGACAGAATGGGGGGAGCTCTGCTATTCCTCTCTTCCTTCCCTCCCGAGGACTTTCCCACCTACCTCAGCTAACTTGCTAGCACAGTCAAGATTTTGCCTTCGTTACGGGCTTATGCAGCATTCCCATTCTCAAACACTGCCCAACCCCCCCCAGTTATACGCATATATACAGAACTGCATGATCCTAACCCTACAGTCTCTCTAGACATCTTGACTGCTACGTCTTTATATCAGGGTATCACAACAAAGCTCAACTTCAAATTAATCTCCCAATCTAAAGGCTTTAAGAGAGCCAAATACAATGAAAAGAACATCAGGTTTTGAATTACCAGCCCAGCAGTATCGCTGTGTAACTGCCCGTGTTTTCATACACAGAGAACAGGAGCACAATCCCATCGGTGTAACCAACCAACATGAATTTCCCCTTCCAGTAAATCTTATCACTTCCTATAATTATAACAAAAATGGAACACAGTTTTGAGTCTTTGTTTCAGCAGAGCTAGCAAGAAATACTGCTTCCAATTACCGCTGACCGATGTGTATACAACGATGACTGTTGTTCCATGGTGTTTGTGCAAACTCTGACAATCCTCCATCATAACGGTTCGGTCAAGACTGCACATACAGAGGTGTCAGTTGTTTCTTTCTTAGAAGGAAGGTTCATATACTGTCTTCTGTTGAAGTGAAAATCCAGTAAGTTCTAGCCCATGTCGAAGACCCACAATGTTTAAATGAAAGAATGGTGAAAGAATAAAAGAAAAAAACTGGCAAAATAGTTACCTGATGAGTTCAAAGAAATATGACAAAGAATTAGGTACCAGACTGCAATCTGGATTGCATTTTGTTTTTTATAGAGGAATACAAAGACTAAGAAATAAGCATTTTTTTAATGACTATTTTTTTTTAATTCAAAAAAATCAGCAAGTTCAATCAGCACTTACAACCCCAAATTCTCATTTTGGGGATAATACCATCAGGTAATTTATTAAAGGTTAAAGACTCTTTGCATATTACTATTCCCCTCACGACGTGTATTCAGCACTGGATATGGAAAATTGGGAAAACATTTTGCACAGTTTAGTTTTGTGAAATACTTCTCCTGGCTTAATCTTTTGTGCCTCAACCGTGCCAAATATGCCCCATACCTAGGGACATCTAAGGACCATCAGACAAGGGGAAGGGAAGGAACCTGGGAGAAAACAGAATCACAGTGATCCAGTATAATGACCAAAAAAAGGGCAGTAAACATGGGAAGGGCTGAATTCACAACTAGGTAATGAGGAAGGAATAAAATCCATTTGGAAGACAGATTTCTTCATCTCTATCCTAGAATTTTATATGGCGTACTGTGTGCTGGGACGATACCTTCTTTGGACAATTTGTTCAGTCGATATCTCTATATTTGAAAAATCTCCTTTCTTGTTTTGAACAGTGATGGTACAAAATTGAAGAAGGACCCTTGAGATTTCTCAGCTTGCACTGCCCCTATCCCATTATTTTAATCTAATGCTATTAATAAGCTTGAGTTGCAAGTTTTGGTTTTATGGATGCTTCGCATGGCCAAGGGGAGAAGAAATATGCGGCTCCAAGTATAAAAGAAAGAAAGATGAATACTAAGAAAGGGGGGACCTACTGGTTCTTGATTTGGACCATGTGGAAAGTGTTCCTCTCTCTCTCTTTTTCAAAGAGAGTCCTAGGAGGCCAGAACAAGATGAAGTATCGATTTGTGACTTAAGTCCTCCAATTTTTCCATTTCTGTGAGGCATCCAGCCCCTTCTCTGCTGAGGAGAAGGCCAAAGTCCACAGTCCACATCTCAGCAGGTAGCTCTAACCTCCCGCACAAGGAAGTTTGAAGGTGTGCATTGTGACTCAGATGCGTGATGGAGTCCTTCACCCTCCAAACCTGAAGCCAGACATTAATCCAATTCCAGTGAGTTAAGAAGAAGAAAAGGATATCAAGGAAAAAAATCGTAGGTAGATGGACTAAAAGGCCAACATAGGGGGAATCAAGCTGGTGATGTTGCTACATTCAGTGTCTGCTTTTGAACTCAATATAGTGTGTTTGCCTAGCAAATATTCAACCCAGGCTAGCAGGTATGTGAGAAAACAGCTCAGCTGCATGTAACTAGACGCCCAAAACATCAATACTTCCCTCGAAACAAGTGCAGAGTGGGAAGATGTATGGAAAATAATTTCCAATTATTAAGTTTCACTTGCATACCACCACCTGGTGATGAAATCTTGAAGTCCCAGAAGTAAGAAAACCTCATTTGACCATGGAGGTCAATGAGAGTTTTGTCTACAATTGCAATAGCTGGGCTCTCATTAACTTACTAATATAATTCAATCAACAGTCAAGAAGGCAAAGCAGAAATGAATTGAAAAACCTTGCTGTGTTGCTGGAGCTCTCACAGTTCTCTTATGCAGCCACCCAGTTCTGATTTGTGGCTCCACAAAGTGCACACCACCGCTGCTAGCAGGTGAACAGAAGCACTGCTGAGTTCAGGGAAGGGAACTTGAGAGACTGTAAAATAAAGCTGTCTTCTCTCTGTGCTGCAGGGATCAGAGCCTAAGAGATCAGCGAAATTATTAAAAGAAAACCAGTGATCATAAGAAAAAAAATCCCATAGTTGTAAAGACAATTCCCACTCTACTGAATCACAAAATATTCTATTAATTCTAACATCAATTTCATCAGTCCAGCCCACAGAGACAAAACTTTAAAGGTGCTCACAAAAACATTCCATCTACATGGGTTTAGAAAGACCTTGGAAGAACCCACATATGGATCTCCTACAGGTAGAACCCCTCCCCCCACACCCTAATCATATAAATAGATAGGCCAAAATGACATGAGCTTATGAGGACTCAGAGAAAGGGCTGTACATTTTTTTTTATAGAAAACATGAACAAAGGCAAATAAGGGTAGAAGTCCAAAACTAAATGAAACAGGTGCCAAGACTTCCGAGGGAAAAAGGCTGAAAACTTCATGCTTCTACACATAAGCATACCTCCAGCTGATAAAGAAAGAAACTCCTTATGATGAGCTGAAACCCTTTTAATCAACATTGTAACGATGATGGTCAATGACGAAATACATTGGCATACACACTATTTGTCTGACTGGTAAGGCAGATCCTGCACACCACAGCAGAAAACACCTTGTACCAGTGCAGATTAAACCCCATGTTTTCAATACAACTGTGTGTGCTGACATCAACAACTTATCAGAAAAGCAGTTCCCAGACAAAATGCCAGTTATATCCAAAAGACAATTCTTTTTGTATTAATATCAGCTGCATAGCATATCAATTAGTTGCAAAACCATTTTTGTTTACACAATCATTTTTATATGAACCATTTCAACATTTACAATTTAATGAAAGATACAATTTCTTAGATTCACTTTCTCTAACTGCAATTTTGAAATTTGTCAAAAGAATTATTGCTAGGGCTGATCTTGCAAGTTGTACGTATGTTGAAAATCCACATAATGTTAAAGTAAGTTGTGCAGTCTGGGACACAGCCACATAGCTAGATCCATGGGAATCTAAATAGCTTTTCCCAGAGCATCACCTTTAAATATTGTTGCCTTATTTCTTTAAGAAAGATGAGAAAACCCCCATTTTACTCCCAAGCCAGATTTAAGCATGATTAGAAACTCATCAAGTGCCATGAGCATCTGAAATTGTTGCAACATTTAATGTATAGTATTGACAAGCATGTGCAATCTGTATGCATCTAGATTGTTAGTTGTGCAAAACCACGCAGACCTACTCTGCCTTCATGTGCAAATCCACACTGTCTTCAGTGAGGGTTTTGTGGTAGTTACTTAGGGCAGAATCTGGCCTACATTTACCTTCTTGGTATTTAAGAGACAGGAAGAATTATTAACTACTAGCTGTTAGAAGGCCCAACTGCAGAATGTTTTAGTAGAAAAATAAACATTTTAAGTTATTGGCAGATAACATTAGTGCAATTATTTTGACTGCCTTACTTTCACACAGTAGATTGAAAAAAATATATTGTCACTTGTGAAAAGAACCTAAGACACTTCAGAAGCAGTTATGTAGCTGCCAAATAAAGAGAAAAGAGGAGCAGATTCTGTGGCATGATATAACCACAGCATGCACTTTATGTAGCTCTCAATGCTTAGTGCCTTTTAATGCTCCAGAAAACAAAATCCAAGGCTTGTAAACTAATTACAGTTCTTTCCATACAAAAATATATCACTTGTGTGATTTTCAAAAGGCTGACTAACTGCTGACTAAAAAGAGAACATTGTCATATTCAGCTATATCCTAGATGACATCTGGATCAACTTCTCTCTTTGAAGAACCACTTTTGGTAGTCTGAGTTGGTACATGGTCGTAATAACGGTGCTGGGTTACCGTTGTAAGCGCTTGACTCTGCTTGTACGCACTTCTGGGTGTGTAGATGGAACAAAGTACCGTCCTACAAGAGACAGAAATAATTTTTGCTTTTCAGGTCTTAAAAATTACAAGCATATCACTGTTTTAAAAGTAATAGAAGACATTTATAACAAATAAATATCACACATATCCTTCTCATGGGGCCATGCAGTGAAGCCAAAATGCCTAACTTGAGGACCTCAAACTTTATCAAAAGACCCTGCTTTTAAACTTACATTAACATTGCTTTAGAGTGATTTGTGCCTGTAAACGATGTGCTAACTTCATTCACTTTCATTGCCTTTTGTTACTGCAGCAGAATATGGGCAGAGAAAACCACAGCCAAGCACAGGCATTACCCAAATTCACCAATTTATTGCACATCTTGCAAGTAAAATGTAAATGTTGTTAGTTAAGCGCAGATGTTGGGTATATTTTTACCAAAAAATTTTCTCCTTTCTTCACAGGGTATATTTTTAGTGGAAAAGGCAAAATAATCTAGGCATGCCCCTTGCCTGCAGATGTGTGTGAAGCTAGCTTGCTTTGCTGGAGGGCAGCACAGCTGCCTCAGAGGTGTAAGGTCTGACAGGCCTCCACAATCAGATTCCCCAGAGAACATATTCTGAGGCCTCAGGGCCTCCTATTACGGGAGTCTCCAGGAACATTTCATTTCCAGTTCATGTCGCTCGCTCCAATCGGGGAGCGCTGTCAACTAGGATAGCGAGCTGCAAAAAGGCGGCGTGTCCAACTGTGGAGAAGTGCCCTGCTCCGAGACCTTTCCTTCCCAGATGATGTTTCCACACGTAACCATTTCCAACGCCTCTGACAGCCTCCAAAGAAAAACGCCAACACCTTGTTTCTGAGCGTTAAGCCTGACTCCTCTGAAAGTCTGCTCTGCCGTCGTCAGGAGTGTCGCACTAATTGCGCCTCGAGCCACAGCCCCTGATGCCCAGCAGTGTGCGCTTGCTCACAGGCTTGCTGAGAGCCTGCTGAATGACTTTCCTGTTTCCATCATGATAATTCAAAAATTTTTGAGTAGACTACTCAATATCTGCCTCACTCACTTTTAACTGTGACCTTAAGAACTTAATTCTTGCCAGGCTGCTGGGAAGGCTGTTCAAATCTTTGATTATGCTACATCCATAAGGACAGCTTTCCCAGTGTCTGACACTTCTCCACACAAAGTAAGAGAAATGTGGTACTGACACCTCACCCATCACTTGCCTTGAAAGGTGGAGGGGGATTGGTGATTTTGATTTAATGCAATAGAAGAAGAGGAATCGGAGCAGAGCAGTACGTTCAAATCACACACAGACACAAACTGATCACGAGAAAGAAAGAGGATTTAGCATCTGAAACTTTAGGAATTATTTTAAAAGTTAATGGTTAGGAATGCAGCGGAAACAGATGTATTCCAAAACTGTGTCGTGTTAATTATTTCCTGAAGTGACTGAGATTCATTCAATATATGTCATCTTAGGGATTAATGCATATGCCTGTGAAAAATTTTGTTAAAAGTCAGCATTAAAAATGAAACATCATTTATAAAATCAGCCTTTTAAACATTTTGTTTTACTCAGTAATACCACTGTGAGCTTCAGTCTGGACTAGGTTTAGTGAATGGACAGTAGTTTTCATACATTTCTTTAGAATTTACTCTGCCACCTATCACTTCTGGTAGTATCTAAGCATGAAATTTGTCAACCATGGAGCCTGTAGACTTTAGATGCATTATGCAGACACATTATGTAAATATACCATTTTGATATATTATGTGACCTTTTCCTTTAGCCAAATAATAACACTGCATAACCTGACCGAGGCCATCATTTTTCATCTAATTTATTTTCTTTCAGGCATCCAGGAACTCCTTCAGAGATTAAAAACTACTAAACACAAGGCTTTCTAAGATCCCATGTTATGTTTATTAATACACTTCATACTTCTCAGTATTTCTCCCCTCTGGGAGTATGCAATAAGCTTGAAAAGAGGTACAGATTTGCTGAGTCCCCACAGCCAGTTGCGTCCTGCATACAGGTAGCAGTAGGGCAGAAAGTATTTTTCGATCATAGAATCAGAGAATCATTTAGGTTGTAAAAGTCCCTTAAGATCGAGTCCAACCGTTAACCTAGCACTGCCAAGTCTACCACTAAACCATGTCCCTAAGCACCACGTCTACACATCTTTTAAATACCTCCAGGGATGAGAACTCAACCACCTCCTTAGGCAGCCTGTTCCAGCGCTTGACAACCCTTTTGGCAAAGACATTTTTCCTAATATCCAATCTAAACCTCTCCTGGTGCAACTTGAGGCCATTTCCTCTTGTCCTGTCACTTGTTACTAGGGAGAAGAGACCGACCCCCACCTTGCTACAACCTCCTTTCAGGTAGTTGTAGAGAGCGAGAAGGTCTCCCCTCAGCCTCCTCTTCTCCAGGCTAAACAACCCCAGTTCCCTCAGTGGCTCCTGTAATGACTTGTTCTCTAGACCTTTTACCAGCTTTATTGCCTTTCTTTGAACATGCTCCAGCATCTCGATGTCCTTCTTGTAGTGAGGGGCCCAAAACTGAACACAGTATTTGAGGTGCGGCCTCACCAGTGCCAAGTACAGGGGGACGATCAGTTCCCTGGTCCTGTTGGCCACACCGTTTCTGATACAAGCCAGAATGCCACTGGTCTTCTTGGCCACCTGAGCATATCACTGGCTCATATTCAGCCGGCTGTTGACCAACACCCCCAGGTCCTTTTCCACCGGGCAGCTGATGATGGTGCATCAAATTACACAACTGCACATTACATTGCAGAAAAGCTCAGGGAGCACTTCCGGTGCTCACAGGGAGGGTCAAGAAAGATGGTTTGCAGAGGAGAAGCAGCAGCTGCTCGAAAGCACAGAAGAGTGTCAAGTAATGGTGGTATGCAAAGTATCAGGGATACATGGTGGTATAAATACCAGGAAATTAAAGAAGTCAATGAAAGGAGACCAGAAGTAGGCCAGCCTACTGGCTGGGGAAGGGGTATGGAGGCACCACAGTTCTCAGGAGAAGACGGTAGGGGTGGGACGTGAGAGGGAACTGAGCAGCACATGGAAAGCTCTAGATGTAGATAGGGTGAAGAGAGAGCTCTGCCAACCTCCCCAGCTCCTTTGCGGTTAAGAAGGGCGCTTTCCTTCCTCTCGTCTTCCTATTCTTTATGACTGGCATACTCTTTACCCGAGTGCTGCTGCTACCCTGTTCCACGATCAGATATTAAAAGCCAAGATAGCATATTCTCCACAGAGATTTATGCTGATGTTGTGGCCTGCATGATGTGTGGGCAGAAAGATAAAAAGAAAAAAAAAAAACCCAACAATTCTCCTCCCACCCACTCTCTCCCCCCAAAAACCCAACAATTCTCCTCCAGCTCCCCAAAAACCAAACCCAAAACCAAGCAGGCACACTTACCTCTCTGAAAACGAACTTCTGGTTTTCAGGAATACTGTGGACATTTTCTTGACACAAGTACATTGTCAAGTAGTCCGTCCCTGAATCGACTGCTGCACAGACTTCCGGCTGCCGGGTGTTGTAACGTATTTCATTATGGGATGTGTACTCGAAAAACTACAAACCCAAGAGAAGAAACAAAGGACAATAGCCATTTCATATGTACACAAGAAAGTATTTATAAGGAGGATATACTAAGATACTATAATTAAGTTCACATATTAAAGTTGCTATTGTAGAGGGAAATTCTGCCAAAAATATTCAAGGAACCTTAACTGCTAACCGTTTGCTTACTATTTTACAGAAAATCAATCTCACCGCAGCACTGCTTTACTCTGGTAGCACTTAAAATGTATGAAATGCTGAATAAATAAATGCCCTGGAAAACAGACATTCCAGCATTAAAGAAGTTACAAAATTTGACTGTAACATTCTACTTTCACATCCTAGATCACCCTTAAAAACAGGATGGAAACTAGTTTATAGTCTGACATTATGCCTTCTTAATTCAGTTGTCACAAAACAACGTTACTTTTAATTAAGGAGTTGCTCACTGCATAGTTCAAACGCAGTTTGGTCAAGGTTCATTTCTAGTTACAAAGTACTCAGGATGCATGGTGATGAGCATTGTATTATATAACATTTTAAGATATTATTTGGAGCAAATCAGCTACAGCTGCTTTTAAACATGAATAGAATGTTAAAGACAATTTACTGGCTTTGCTTGTACAATATTCTACAGAGGTGTTCTGAACATGCTATAAAACATCTTGGCTTTTGTGGCAATTATGGCTGAACACTTCTTTAAAATTTTTATATTTATCATGGACACTTGCCAGATTTTGGACTTCATTAAAGAGCGGCAGAGTTTGAGAGTTGTTTGTATTTAGCATGCTTGTAAATAATTCAGATGACTATAGTGCACGGATGTGTGTTTAGATCTAATGTAGATTGTACTCAGTAGGGTAGAGGAGAGTTTTATAAACATCAGAAAATTGCTTGCTACCAATAGTAGAGCTGCATTAGTGGAAAGCAATAAAAGGATGAGGGAGAGAAGGAATCCTCCTTTGTTTTGTTTCACCCCTGGAGAAAGACTGTAAGGCTTTGTGAAGGGGGCTGTACCAATTCAGAAACGTTGTATATACTTGCACTTACCACAAAACCATCCTTAGCAACCACCAGGGCTAATTAACCTTGAAAGAAAAACTGGAAATGGAGTTTTAATATAAACAGGACTGTGTGATTACAAAGCCTGCAGTCATCCATTTCCAGGTGTAAGAGCTCTGATCTAGACTACGCTGATGGTAGTTGTTTCTTCAAATCTCCCCTGCCCCTCCTTTTATCACAATCAGGAATTTCTCTGCCAAGGTGACTGTCGCAGCTGTACACAGACCAATGTTGCCCACTGCATCAGCCTGTGGAGCTCCATGGCTTTTCTTTGGGCAGTGATGCAAGTGACCCCTCCTCGAACTAACTTGTTCGCCATCATTCATTTGTGGTAAGCCGCAAAGGGAAGTGAGTGTTTTGAGAAAGCAACTTCAAGTTTGAAGTCTACCTGCTGACATAACACCCAGGAGACACTGATTTCCCCTTGAAACCTATTGCTAGGAACTGTTTCTATGACATAGGCTGCACTGCCTTTACAAAATTTGCTTTATTACCAGAAATGCCTCATCACCAACAGAAGTCAAATGTGATAAATATTGGCCTAATTTTTTTTTTTTAGTATTACTTTTTACCCCAGTAGGCAGGAGCTATTCCCTGACCTTCTGGCTTTAGTTCCCAGGTTCAGTATCTGATTGGCACATGGAAAGCCTGCTACTTTGGGCACCACAGTGAGCTGGAAGGGCACTCATTTTAAGCTAATGACTTGTGAATAAAGAAAAAGCTTCACTCCTGCTTGTTTGTGTCTGGATGGACACATTTTACAGCTGCCACTTTTACACATTTAGAGCCTTGCTCATTAGTGGATTTATAAGATATAATAACTCTTTTTAGCAATTTGTGTTCAATATCACTGAAAGCCTGCAAGCTGCTGATTGTACCAGATGCATCAAGAGCAGATGAAGCACCTACTAGGTCAGAGCGCTCCTTACTACTGACATCCTTCCTGACCACCTCTCAAGGACTTGCATCAGATTTTGGAGGAGAAGAGCAAGTAAAATAGTTAATTTCTGCATAACATTAAGGATTGGGGTTACAGTATTAGCAACCAAGCACTCCTGCCTCCTTGCCCAATGAACATTATACAGTTCTTTACCCTATACTCTTTCAAATGGAATAAATACTTCAGGCTTCAGGCTCCAATAATACATGAGGTAAATCTCTTCCTCTTCAAAGTGTTTTTTAGTGCTCTTTCCTTGCCCAGTGGGTTCTGTGGGCAGAAAGGAAGCATTTTCAAACTGATCCATGGCCCAGTAACTGCATTACTACAGTAATGCCTTACTGCATTTCTTTCCTTCAGAGAACCAGCAGATTCCCCTAAGTGCTACTGGGAAACTTGATGAGGCCTTTTACCCAGTGCCTACTGCTTCTGGGCCATCTACAGGATATCCCTCAGCTGAACCGGTGCTAGGTGGTACTAGGGATGGAGGCAGACTTTGGATACCTCACCAGACCCTGAAACACACTCTCATCCCTCTCTGTGCCTGGGTACCGCTTTTCTGCACACAGGAAGAAGTCTGTAGTTGACAGGTACTTTCTGGGCAGAAAAAACAGGACCAAGGTTACCAGGTCTGATACCTACTCCTTTCACAGAAAACCTGAGGGCTTTGCTAACATCTCCCTGTTTGCCTCAAATCTATCAGCTGCAAATGGGAATATTGGAGGGGAGGGGGGGTATTGTCAGACAAAGCAGGCTGCTCAGTGGTTTCCCATCCTCTTACCATGTCAGGTCAGCTTCCTGCCATCACACCTTGGTCCCCTCTGCACTGCTTCCCAGCCATACCAAAAAGGGCAATGGGCTTTACTGGTGCTAAATTTCAAAGCCTTTCGTTCTCATCTACTGGGGCAGACACTTCCACAAAACATCAGCAGGCTGAGGTGCAAGCACAGAGTAGCCAGTGTTTTGCATATTTTCTGCCTCTCATCCATACACACTCAGCTCCTATTACCGCAGTCATAGCCTCACCTTCTTGGTATAATGAGCATGCTAACTGTAAACAACCCACAGTTAGCTTTCTTACTGCTTACACGACAGCAATTCAAAAGGACTAAAGGGAACCCTCGCACTTATGCCATGGATTCAAGGAAAAATAGAAACAAATTACCAGGGACTTCAGTTTTCTGAGAGTGGTTTTACTTACTAAGACATAAAATGGCAGCAGGTGCTGGACTTTATAAATAATCAAGAGCACAGAGCTCTCTCCTCTCAGCACAGTGCACACAGATATTCAGAGGTCACTTTAAGTGAAGAATTGCTTCCAGTGAAAAGAGCTTTTGCAGTTGTCCCCTACATAAACAGCCACCTGCCACTACCATATCATGCCAGAGGATGGGTTTACTGGAGTGTAAGACACATATGGCTGACCAAGTTAACCTTCATTAATGTTAAATCCTATCAAGATGTTTTTGGAGAATAACTTTACTGAGCTGCAGTCTGGAAAATAAACTTTGTTCCTTTATACCATGAGACAGTGAGAATATGCAGCAGGGGAAGAAATTATTTGAGGAAGAAAATGATGAATGGTGGAAAAAACTCTGCAACTGGAGGAAGGGATGAGAAGGAGAAGACTAGCGGATTAAAAATGGGAGCTAGCCAGGAAAGAAGAAAAGCATGAGAAAAGGAGCAAGACGTGACCTAGTGTGGGTAGTAACTGGTGGGAGGAATACGTGAGGGGAGAGACAGAGCAAGGGTGTTAGATAAGGATTGGGATCCAGCCAGCATGGAAAAGAAAGTGTTAAATAGCATGGAGTGGAGAAATTGGAGCTGTCTGTGACATGTGGTGCAGGACAGGGGACTGGAGCGAAGCTTTATAATGAGGGTTTGCTGCTAAAGCTGTATATAGGTAATGAGTGGAGTAACGAGAGCAGACCAGAGGAGAGCAGGCAGAAGAACTTGGGATTAAGATGGCAGATTCCTTTCCAAGGACAAAACAGAAGTTAAGGGCTGCCTTTTGTCAGCAAACATCTGTGAAACTCTGTGGTGAAATGCCCTGCTCTCCTTAGCATTGATACAACTAGAGGATGACCAACCTTGTCACCATCAGTTCCACCAGCTGACAGCGGTAGATGTACATGTGGGAGATCTGACTGTTTCGGTCGTGCCACTGTCACCTGCCAACTGACCTAAGGATTTCACAGCACCAGGAGCAGCCTGTTACCTTTTAAGAACGGCTGTCAAAAGGGCAGGGGGACAGGAAAGAAATGGAGAGAAATGTCCTGCTGGTAGGTTTCACAGTTATTTGTGTGTCAGAAAAAGGAGGTCCAAGTTCAGCAATCCTGACTTCCATTTCCCGTCTCACTTGTCGTTCTATGGCTTCTCTTATTTTAGCCTCCTTCTGTTCCCCCATCCGGAGCTCTTCCTGCTGTCCACTTCTCTTGCAACTACTACCTGCCACCCCTACTCATGCCCTCATTTGCCAACTGGTATCTCTGCTCCCCCATGTTCAGCCCCCCTGCCCTTTTCCACTAAACGGGTCTCCAGTGATTCTGCTTGTTTCACACTCCCTCCCTGTAGCTCCAACTACTCCTTCCTCTGTCACACATGCCCTGCTCCTCACCTGTTGCCCTACCTCTGTCCCAAACTTCTTCTGCCTTCTGTCACCTTGGCCCCCTCTCCCCAGCTCCTGTCAGCCCTCCCCTGCCTTTTGCCCATTTCACTAATATTGTTCTGCCCGTTTCCTGTGTTTGGCCTTCCCTCCTCAGGGTCTGCAATTCTCTTGTGTCATCTCATATTTTCTTTTATCGCTTTATATTGCAGTCAGGTAGTTTCTCCATTCCTCCTTCCTCCTGCTCCTTGGATGCCAGCAGAGGGAGCACTAATTGCACAGCTCCAAGAGCATCGCTGCTCTCAGTCTGGTGCCTGCTATCGCAGGTACACAGATGCATCACACCATCAGCAGAGACGGAAGAGTATTAATATCCAGTGATGTGATATCTTTGCAGTAAATTCAGTTAATCTTTTAGTGCTAGCTAAACAAAGGATAATTGTAAAAATGTCATCGCATGACAACTCATCTCTGAATTGTACTTCTCTTTTGCTTTCGCCTTTTATTCTACGTCTTTATTTTTTCATGGTGGAAGGGATAAAATTTAAATGAAGTTTTTTCCTCAGAGAAATACAAAAAGATTCAATCCCTCTCCCTTCTGTAATCTGTAATACAAGGGGAAAAAAAAAATCTATAAATACCTTTTGAGTATGAGCACGTAATCCCATACATGAAATACTACTTAATCTACAAAAGCCAGCAACTCTTCCTCATAAGGAAGTGACTTAACTAGGTTATCTGATTATTAACTTATCTTCTGTATAGATGTATAGAAGTATGCTTAACTTGGGCATGGATCTGAAGTGAGGGAGTAAAATGGGTTGGAGTGGTGTGGGTTAGCATGCTTGACATACACCTGTCAGTAGCGAGATCCTTTGGCTTTTATGACACAAGATTCTCCTCCTGCTCTCCCCTGCATCTTGGCCTCCAGGACAGAAACATTAAGACATAAACTAGACATAAACTAATAAATAATACTAAATAATGGTTCTAATACTTAAAGCAATAAACTTGCTATCAGAAGCAAATCTACTTTCTTGCAAGATCTGAAGCACAGTGCTCAGCCTGTTGTTTGTTTTCCTTTTCTCATTTAAAATGCAATTCATATTAGAAGCTTACTCCTCAATACAGACTTGGTTTTCACTCCTTGAGCTTTTATACTTTTTTAAAGCAGAGTTCAGAAAGGTAATGGACACACTACTTATCTGCCACATCTCTGGTTCTTTTCCAAACTTGTTTTTCCTTTCCTAGCTGAATGTTTGGATTAATTTCCTTAAAAAACCCAAACAGTCAAGCCACCCAAACTGTCACATGGTTGTGTACTACTCTCAACAAAACCCTACATATTTCTCCATCCCTCCCCACTAGGACCATGCCATATAGTCTAATCTGGGTTAGAAGCAAAAAATAAAGCTAGATAGGGCAAGTACATGCTACATACCTGTCCTGGTTTTGGCTGCGCTAGAGTTAATTTTCTTCCCAGTAGCTGGTACAGTGCTGTGTTTTGAATTTAGAATGAGAATAATGTTGATAACACACTGATGTTTTGGTTGTTGCTGAGCAGTGCTTACATTAAGTCAAGGAATTTTCAGCTTCTCATACTGCCCTGCCAGTGAGGAGGCTGGAGGTGCACAAGAAGCTGGGGGGGGACACAGTCAGGACAGCTGACCCAAACTGGCCAAAGGGATATTCCATACCATAGGACATCATGCTGAACAAAAAAAATGGCAGGAGTTGGCCAGGGGGTTGGGGCCACTGCTCCGGAACTGGCTAGGCATCGGTCAGCAGGTGGTGAGTAATTGCATTGTGCATCACTTGTTTTGCATATTCTTTTATCTTTTTTTTTTCCCCTTCCCTTTCTGTCCTATTAAATTGTCTTTATCTCAACCCACAAGTTTTACCTTTCTTCTGATTCTCTCCCCCCATCCCACTGTGGGGGAGTGAGTGAACAGCTGTGTGGTGTTCAGGTGCCTGCTGGGTTAAATCACAACAATGCCACACATCAAACACCAAACCTCAATTCTAGAAGGTGGCCACTCAAAACCATGCAAAAGAGCCATTGTAGATTGGCACACGGTGCCCCGTAACGCTTTTACCACAGCATTACGCAGAGAGCTTTATGGCTATCATAACTAACCACTGCTGCACATAGTTTCAGTCAGCATGAAGACACCAGCAAGCATTTTCAGCTTCAGAAGTTAAAACCAAGAGAGCAAGAATGAAAGTGTTAGAAGGGATCCCTGCTCTCCAGGATTCTGGAGCCCGAGCCCAGGAGGACATTTCTGTAGAGTGGAGTACAGGAGAAGATGCCGTCCAAAACCTCTTGTGCAGTTAAACAAGCACCAAAAGGAAGAGGCACGATGACAGACATGGGCAGAACTAGGTGAGGTTTGCAATGTTATTAAGGGCTTTGGAGACACGGACAGACAAAAGCTCAGAGATGTGCTCGTCTGCCCAAGACCAGCTGGAGATGAGCAAACACTGGCCTGTAAGCACTATAGCTGCACTGCTGTACTATTAACCCCTGCTAATGAGCTCTGTGGAAAGGCATAATTAAGGTGTACATGAGTTCCCTGGTCTGGGTAGACACGTCCTTGGAATGAAGAAAATCTGACCTGAAGATACATCAAAATTAAGAGCACTCAGTGCAAGAATCAAAATTAGATCTAAGATCACCTCACTGTGGTAACATACTCTCTCCGCCCTACTGCAATGCTTTTACCATACTTTTTAACCATACAAGCATAGTGTTAGTCAAAATGAAAATAAAACATGAATCTTACCTGATTTTGTCCCATGCCATGACATGGGTACAGTATGATCCTCTGTCCAGTTACCTGATGTTCATTTGCAGGGTTATAATCAAAACAGAAGTTTGCCATTCCTCTATTCTTCAGCTAATCAAAACAAAATAATATTTTAAAGTATTAATCTAAAGTAAGGAAGATATGCTGTAGTCACTTTACACCCATCCTGCTGGGCTGTGAGGTTTATATCCCAGAGATGGTGCGAGTTAACTGGAATAGATCAAATGGATCCAACAGCAACATCTCTCTGACTAATGTGAAATAAAACTGTTGGGACTGTCTTGACTTTGGGCATTAAAGCAGTCAGACATGATGGCTTCCCCTAGGAATGACACCGTGTTCCAGTGTATTTGCAAATGAAGTAGGTAAGGACTATGAAAAGCAGTGTTGAAACCCAACAAGCCAGCAACTTGTGCAGAACTAAAGAGTCTGCCATGTCTTTTTTCCCCCAGGATCTACTTGTTCAAATTTTCTAATGAAAAGAAGACTACATACTTTTCTCAGTTTGTCAAATGAGTGATGTTAGAAGGATTTGCTCTCAAATGGACTCCAGTACCCTCTTGAGGTTGACCAAGCAGTCAGATTTTAAGACCAGAAATCATGTAATTGGGTAAGATTTATCTTTGGAAAGAAACACTAGATATGATTTTAGAAGTTCTTTACTAGTGTTGCTGATCTCTGACACAACAGTGGCATAACTTCTAGATTAAATTTTTAAATATTAAATTACATGATTTAAAAAATATCAGGCTAATTAACAAGGATTTGCATTTAAGTATTCAGGAGGCAAAAGTAACTGAAAATAATTTAAACAATCCCATAACAATTAATGACTCCTAATATTAGCTACTTAACCAAATTTAGAATTACACAGAGCAAAACAGGTTCTGTAAACATAGGTTCAAGCTGAATGCCCCTGTTACTGAGTGTAATTATATCGCAGATAAAAGGAATAAGCAGAGTAAATCTCAGAAGAGTTACTTCAGCAAGGTGTAATTTCACTGCTCTTCCCTAGTCATGATAATTGTATCCTCAGTGCCTAACGTGGAGAATGAACGGACACGAAGGGATTGCAGACGGCTAAAACCAAACAAACAAGACAAACCCCACAGGACCCAAACCCACCATAGAGCAAATCACACAAGCTGGAAAATGAAATACTTGTGTTCTATATATATTTTGCTTTCCCAACTTCTACTTTTATTGCTACTCAACGTCTTCTTTCCACTGCTTTGTACCCACTCCCGCTGAAAGACAGCCAAGCTCTCGGCGCTCCGCATGCCTGGGCTGCTGGCCCAAGACAACAGCAATGCATTGCGGGGCTGGGGAGGACCACCGAGCCGCCACAGCTTGGGGCCCCTTGCAGGGCTGCTGGGGCTGTGAGGTTCTCCTGTCGGAGCCAAACGTATAAATGTAGGACCGAAGCCCTACCCTTACAGGCTTTGCTTCTTAATTCCTCTCTGAACATGTTTGCACAATGCAGTTGCTGTAATTTTTCAGTAAAGGATAAACTAACATCCGAATCTGGTGTATGATAAAATGCATCCTTAGTTTTAGTGTCCAAGTTCACCAGAAGCAAAAGAAATCCCCCGGGCACCTTTTCTACAGAAAACGTTGCTTGGTTTGATGGGAACACACTAGACCACTGCACTCCTCCCCAAGCTGTCAAAAGACGACATTTTGTTTACCTTCATAATACTAGGCAAGAATTACACTTGTAAATTTTTACACTTTGTACATTACAAAAACAGGAAAGAAAAGTATCTTTTACAGATTATTTTTAACACTACCATGGAACTACATAAATGAAATAATAAGATTCTCATGTTTCTACATTCTACATCAAGAAAAGTCAACTTAAAGTCATAACCACTCAAAAAATGGTAATTGTATCTCTAAAAACATAAATTGGTTTTGGTTGTTATCAGCGGCTGTCCTCAGGATCAGAGGGTCTCTCATGACTATGTTTAACAACATATGACTTTGCCTGACTGTCTACTGGCTCGAAGGAAAGATAAACATAGCAAAGCACTTTTCCGCGGTGCCCTTGCAGACAACCCAACGCCTTCGCTACTGCTCCAAGCCTGCGTTCTTCGCCATCAGCTCCCGGCACGTGCTCGAGCACATGCTCCCTTTTGTGCTCTGGAATTTTAAATAGCCAGAACTACTGCAACTCTCCTATGCATGTTACGCAATGCCCAAATACAGACAACAAAACAAAAGCTGGGTAAAAGACTACTAACTTAAGCTTCATTTCAGATTGTTTAAAATTGAGCCTGTACTCCCAGGATGCTACCACATATGTTCTCTCATTTTTCTCTTTCGTGCATAAATGTTTGTGATATGTGCAGACATACTCCTAAACATACATGGTCCATATTTCAATCTGGTTCTTTAGTTTGTTTTATCAGACATCAGTAGATGTTTGTTTATACCCATCCTTCATCAGGAAGCCTAATATTGAATATAAGATATTCAAGACCTAATTTGTGGGAATAGTGCATACGAAGCTATTAAATGACCTGATCTGAAATGACAAAGATTTTAAAATAATCAAATTTGAAAATCTGATCACAGCACCACTTACACACAAAAAAAAAATATCCACCCTCTGTTCCAAGGCAGAAAAAAGTATGAGAATTTGTGGAAGTAGTATTTTTCTCTTGTCAATGAGAATACACAGTTTAAGTTCCTTTTACGTACAACAGCTCTATTAAAACAGTAATCGTTCATTCATTTCTGAAGCTATCTTTGTTCCCATATCCACCATAAACAAGTCATGCAATAAGAACAAAATTTTCTCCATGACTTACCTTAATTCTTCTGCAGAATGCTGCATTAGAGAAACAGAAGCAAGAAACATGTTGATCACCTTGCCATTAAAACACATACTTCAGTTCTAAAAAAAGATCTGTCCATGCAGGATTACGGGCTGCATCTTTCTACAACTTTTGCCTCCTATTGAAGCACTGCAGATGTACTCTACTGTGCCATTTAGTTAGCACTCTGCTTGGAGGCTGGGACAGGTACTAAACAGCAACTACTGAGATATTCACCTCAGACCTTCACCCCTTACTTCTTAGAGAAATTTAAATCTGTTTCCTGACATCTGGACACTTCCATAAAATAACACAATACAGATGGCATTCTGTAAATAAGTCTTTGATTTTTTTTTTTTTTTAAGACAAAATCCATTTCATATAACTGTAAGCAAAGCATCAACAACAGATTTTCGACTTTAAAACTTCATTACATTAGTTGATAAATACAGCCAGTGGGGCACAGCCAACCTTTCTCTTCATCCACAAAATAGATCAGAATCCTCTTTATTCTGCCACAGTGGCATTGATGTTGATGTATTAGTGGCATGGGCAGATGATACCGTGGGACACAGTAAAATATGAATTTGTAGCAAGCCAATAGCTTCATGGTACTGACCAGGCATAAGCTTTTACCTCAAGGATAATCCGAGCAGCCACAGGGAATGATTTTACTGAGTGTGTGCTATTTTCATGTCAACCTTTTTGGAAAAAAAAAATCGTGAATATCCTCAGATTTCTGTTAACTTCTCAAGTGCAATGCTGAAATGGGTATACAACATTGATGACTAAAATGCTCTGAAGGAATCAATAATGAGACACTGCTGTTGGAATTTGGTTGCTCACCCCAGCAAATCCAGATCTCCCCGGGAGGCTCAAGAACATACAAGCACATGTCTGAAGCAATGATGTGTTCACTTGAGATTAATATCAAACACGTATTTCTCCCACTTCCTTTAAAAAGCCTGTCTCAAGCTTTCAGAGGCTGTACAGCCAACAGCGTGGTACGTATTTTCCTGTGATGGGCATCAGACCTCCCGGTCTAGTCAGCCACAATCTTGGGTACCAATTCAGTCTCAAGTGGCATCTCTGCAAATTGTATTATAATCCAGTTTTAGAGGTATACCCTAGAGGAGGCTGTTTTGGAGCCCGATACCTGTGAGAACTTGTAACACCAAACATGCAATAGTCTTTTTGACTATGTAACTTAAGCCACATGGCTAAGATCTCTTCTTCTGTAAGTCTGTCCATATATATCACATGTTATTTAGATGATTTACAAAATCTCATGTCACAGCAAAACAAAATTCTTCACAGTTTTAAAAGCTTAAAATCTTTCTTCCTGATATTTCTTTTCTAAGGTTATATCTGGTCTAAATTAAAAGAAAATTATGACTAAGTGTTTGGAAATTCATTGAAGATGAGATGGTCTTTGGGGAAAACATGGAAGGAAGGTGACAATAGAAAAATTCAAGTTTTTGATCTCCCAACTGATTCAGTCAGTCGCAGATGCCTTTAAGGATAGGTGGTGAAAAGAGCCATTGGCTAGATAGTCACAACAGACATCTATCAGCTGAGTTGCTTCACGTTCAGCTGGAAGAAAGATCAGCTAGAAACTGTTTGAGAAGAACAAATAAAACTTCTCGTATCAGAACATAATACGGTCTCACTGCCAAGTGATCAAACTTACAGAAAAGGAGAGATCAAAACCTGATTTCTGTGTCAACACTGTCTTTTAAAAGCAATCTGGATGCTGAGTTTGAAGCCAAATTCACGGACTGACCATAATCTTTATCCTCATATATGCATCCTGAATGCCAGCAATACTTAGTATACCTTAGAGGGGAGAGGAATCCTGACTATTCCCTTGCTTTGCAGCCATGCATTTCCACAGTCACCAATAACATGAAGAAATCACAGAGCTGCCCAGTTCCTCTGTCTTAACCTAGCTGCACAATGCAGCAATGTCACAGTACTAATATGAAACACTCAAGATAGCTCCAAGTTCTTCCTAGAGGTGCCCGCACCATCCCTTCCCAGGGCAGCTAAGATTTTTAAGCAGACGAAGCCTGGGCTGTCTAGGTGGGCAATCTGCACAGGCCCGGGGTTCAAGTCTTTTTAAGATTTCACACCAGGTGAAGCACAAGTACAGTGTATACTTCGCTGGTAAGTGCACTCTCAAGGATGGCCAAATCAGATGCTATGCCAGAAAAAGAGAGACATCAGTGCTCTAACACAACAACTTAAAAGGGATTATCAGCCTTTCCAGAAATGCTGACATATTATTTTAACCCACTAAGTGCCTACCAGCCTCATTCCCACCCGCCCCCCAAGTAAATTATTAAAGTCAAAAGACCTCAGACAGTTTATAAGAATGCAATCATAGCTCTGGCAAAAATATTCAAAATTCAGGATGTTTAAATAAAGTTTTAGGCAGCTAACTTTTTAGACAACCAAGCTTAGTATAGATATTTTTTATCTACATATCAAGAGAAAAAATTTAGCAAAAGTGTCTGCTTGTCAGTGCATGGCACCGAATGCTGCTCAATAATTCTTGCATTTATTTCAATAACATATGGCTGACCTATAGGTAATCTTAGAAAGATTTTCAACTTCAGTGTAAAGATTTTCAAGGGAGGGATAAATCCCCATATTCCTTTGCAACCTCTTTGAACAATTAAATAACCTCACACTAAGCTGAGCTGTTAACAAAGCCAACACTTTTAAACACAGTATTTTTGTGGACCAAAAAAGCACTACACGGCTAAGGCAGGAGTAAAGAACACGATCAATGATTCATTGAAGTTCGCAGCTGGGACTCAATATCCACAAATCAGTTGAATCAGTAAGTGTCATTTTTGCACTGTCACTTTCTCAGAGTACAACTGTACTTTAATCACATTTTAAATTCATCCTGCCAAAAAAAAATTGTGTATTCTTATTATGCTCACAACTAGACGACAGCATTTAAGAATTGTTTTTAGAGAAATATATAGAGCACACCTAAATTATACCATAGATACCTCAAGCAGCTCTGAACAAGAATTATTATTTCTAGGTATTGTCAACACCTTTCCTGAGGATGACACACGCAGTTAAATCATGAAAGAAACTGCACAGATCCCTTCCCCTCCTCAGGAGGTTGAAGCGCTGTCACTGCCACCAGTCTAGGCTTTCTTTTGGAGGGTGAAGGATGGAGGTGGAGGGGAGGATAAGGTTACTGAAATGCTCCTGGAAGGTAAGTCTTACAATATCCTATTGCCTCAACTGTCTCTGACCTTGTCAGTTAGTGATCCAGCACAAAACAACAAAAAACAAACCCATGTTGTACCAGGGTCTGTTCAAGGTACTGGATAACAGTGGATATTACCTTTCATGCCAGCGATGACACAGAGATACCAACTCAAGTACAAGCTGCAAGACAAATGGAGGGGGGTGGCTACGCTCTCAGAGGCTCCTAAGGGCTTTGCTGCCAACTGATGCGCTCCCTGTGGGAGCTCCTACAGCTCCCCGTGGGAAATACAGCTCCCCGTGGGAAACCACAGCGTTTCCACATTAGGATCTTTTTCGTTCAACAGGTAACAAAGCTATTAGGGAAGACTGCTGGGAGACTTGGTTCCTGTATGTTTTGTACGCCCACAGTGATGGGGTTTTTTCCTCCACTGAAGGAGATCCAGCAGAGACTGAGTAACAGAAGCGCAGATGGCAGCAAGACAAGACTGTTGTGATACGGGCTGGATGCGATGCAGCAGTGTGGGAATGCAGCTTAGCCAGATCGGCAGAGTGATCGAGTTACCAGCAAAAATACTTCTAAATCATTGTGGCATTGGTAATCAGGAAGGTATTTTATACATCTTTGCCTGGCAGAAAGGTACAGTCTTGTCTTCCCTATAAGACACGCAGCAGATATCTGCTGATTTTTCTGAGGAAGCAGGTATTTGCTGTATCATCTTTGCCTTCATCCTTTCCAAATGAGATTACAGTAATGTGATATACATAGAGCTATAGTTTGTATTTATTTGTAAGCTGCAAATAGCATAGAAAGTTGTCAACTCTTAAAAAAGGAGAAGAGGATTCTGATATTGAACCAATGAAAATTGCTTGTGAACCTGTGCTGGTCTGAAGTGGCCTCCAGATTACAAATTAACATGTTGGTTTTGACACAGAGAATGCCGTATGATCTGGCAGTACATAGCACCCGCTCTCTTTCCCATCATCAGAACATCATATTTTCATCAGATAAAATGTGCAAATACATGTTTCAAAGCACCCTCTTTCTATTTTCAAGGCAACAACTAAAAACTAAAACGCTTTGGTGCTCTCTTTTTTTTTTTTTTTGCTATGCAACAGTTCAAGAAATAAAAAAGTCATCCTTTGCTGCCTTTAATACTCCCAAGATGTCACTTGGAAGGTTTAATTCACAGCAACATTACCTGTTCTCCAACCCTGTCACAGAACTCCTTCATAAACAGCATCCCCTAGAACAAAGACTCTGATAGAAACCACATTTTAAAGCCTACCAATTCTAACTGAATTCTACCAAAATCCCAAACTGATTTCGGCATAAAAATACCTTCATCCTGAGTTAGTAGGAGAGCTCAGAGAACTGTGAGGAGGCCCCTTCTCAGCAGCCACATACCATTCCGAAGAAGCCTGGTCTGTCCTCAGGTACGTGAAGCTCTGGGTACACGTTCTCCAAGAACCATTTGAAGTCCTTACATTTCAGCTTCTCTCGAAGGAGTCTCCTTTCTGTCACATCTCCATATGGTTCCTGAAAGGAAAAAGAAAAAAAAAAAAAATATGTTTGAAAAACTCCCAACCAGAACAGATGCTCTCTTTTAAATTATCTGTATACATTATTAGGAACCGTATGCTAAAGTGACGAGTAGGACTTTTAGCCAGGAAAAATCCCCATGTTTGGGTGCTGGATTTGATTTCATTATCCTTACATTTGTTAAATGTTGACAAAAAAGAATTGGAACAGTGCACATAAAACTTTAAAATATTCTAGAAGACAGTTCGTCTGAGAAAACTCCCCAAATCCACAAGTAAGGAAGTCATTGAATACAAATTGCTGGGAACTGAGAAGGCATATTGGAAAAGAAAACTTCCCTTAGCTGGATAATCGAAAATCTCAAAAGCAGTGAATGAATCTTGAGAATTTTAAATTACTCCACCATCCATTTGCAAATTACCTGTACAGACAGTTTCACATTTAACTGATGAGATCTATAAAATCTGCTAATGTTTCCTTTGAACGTCATAGTTTTGAGGGGTGGGGAGTATGAAATCTTAAACCTCCAGAGAAAAGCTTTCATTGTAGACTTTTCCCTCTCTATAGAGGAGCAGAGTTCAGATCTTTTCATGTCTGTCTTCAAAAATCGATCTTTATATTGACTAGGGACTTCAGACAGTCAGACATGAGATACCATTTGCAGACCCCAGATTTTTACAGGTCACTTGAAAC